TAAATAATGAGAACATGCAGTAAAATTATACGTCATCTAGTAATGTTAACCATGTTGTAATTCATTAACAATAATTATATAAAACATTAACAACATTTTTGTAAACCGTTCCGTTCTTTGAAGAAAGCAAAAAAAAAAAAATTAACAATGATTGACTACTATAGTCAAAACGTTATCACCCGTTAATAATGATATATATGACTTACGATACTGATTATTAGGGCAACGCTAATAACCATAGTGTAAATCATTGACAAGAACTAGGGCTAGCTATTTAAGACCGGGACCGGATGTAAAACAATCCAATCCCGTCTTTGGTCCTAGAATTAGCAAAAAACCCGGATCAATCCAATCCGGGTTAAAACCGTATTAAAACCGAAAGACCAGATAACTAAAAAAGTGACCCAGAGCAAGACCTAGACGAGCCCATTGCCCCTTTCCCAGTGGCCCGGGCGACGCGAGCCTACTCTGTAATGTAGGATTGGAATGGCGCTCTCCCTCTCCAATCTCCAAACCTGGAGACAACATGGACTGTGAGTCTGTGACCATAAAATTCCATTCCACGAACCTGGAGAGAGATGAACGTGCAAGTTGGTTCAACTTCAAGTTCCTAGTTCCCAATTTTACCTGAGACAATGATTAATTCGGATTTATTAACCCTGTTGATCTTATAATAATACATCAATAAGTGGTTCTTTATAATAACAATACATGGAGATACCCTCCCACTAGAGACTGAGATCGCTGCTACCTACTCATTCATATTGTTTTGAGTTGTTATTTTGTTCTGTTTGTTTGTGAACATAATTTTTCCAAAGAGAAATTTTGTTTCTTAATTTAAGTTCCACCTGCTGGCAGCATCAGCCAAACTCAGAAAAATGGAGGGGATGAGTAGCAGGGTCAAAAGGGTCAAAACCGGATTGAGACTGGACCGGATCAAATCCGGACCGGGTCAAAACCGGACTGTATCCAATCCAATATTTGGTCTTCATATTTCCAAAAAAACGGACTGGGATCAGATCAATTCAGGCCAATTTAACCGGCCCGGACCGTATAGCCACCCCTAACAAGAACTATATAAAAAAAATGTTAATAACGTTATTGTAAATTATTATGTTCTTTGAAGAAAGCAACAAATGTTAACAATAGTTGACTCTTATAGCCAAACCGTTATCAACGTTAGAATGTTAACAATCACTATGAAAGGTTAACAATCAACAACGAACAAGTTAATAATCATCACAAAAATGCTTGGTCTCGTTTTGGATCTGCATAAGTTTCACCCTCTTCGACTAATTCTCTCCCAAAATTTTCTTTCCCGACAATGTCGTAGTGGCCATTGGAGTCGATGGCAGCGGCGGAAGCCGATGCAGATGAAGAAGTGGCGATGTGTAATTGTGTATGGATCCAGAGGTGGGGCGACATCTCTACAAAGGGGAAGGCGACTAATTGCTGATGTTCCTCGTCGAGAGACTGACGAGCTGAAGAATATGATTCGCGCAGGAAACTGATGTGGCAGGTCGGGAGTTACGGGCTTACGGCCGAAGCGGAAGACGCGAGTGGCGATGCTGCTTGTTGGGGGGGCTAACGAGCTGAGAAGATGATGCGCCGACGGGAGAAAGAAATACTCGCCCATCGAGGGATTAACCAAAAACACTAACTTAATGAATATATTAAAACATCCAATTAAAAGAACTCAATATCCTAATTTTCCTTAATAAACACCAACGACTAAATAATCACAAACTATCTTATTAATCTAGTGACCAACATTTATTTAAAGAAACTTCTTAAACTTTAAAGATTAGGACTTGAACCTAGGCCATAAGGCACAATAAAACGATAAACTTTTGCCGCATCATTAAGATTCGTCCTACTCAACAACTAATTTGACACGTCATAGTCAAATAACGTTTTGAGAAGATGAAAAGTTTTTTGTTGATAAATGGATGCAGTGCATCTCAGCCTTCATTCAAAACCAAACGGGGTTCAGAGAGCCCCTGACAATCGTACATAATGAAATTACACAGAGTGGGGTCAGAACAAGAGATGGAATGGTAACCTAGAGGCAGTAAGTGCCCTCTACTAGCAAGATGATCAGCACATTTATTTCCTTCTCGATAGATATGGGAAACAACAATTTCCCATTGATGAGTGAGCAGCTCTTTGAATCTCTGAATGATGGCCGCCTGTTGATGATCTGGTGGGTTCGAACTACTAAGGAGCTGAACCGCACAGAGAGAATCAAGCTCCACTCGGACACGTCTGAAACCCGTGTCCCAAGCCAACTGCAGCCCTTCTACAGCGCCTCTCAACTCAGCCCGGGTGATAGAGCAGCTCCCCAGGTTTATAGCGAACGCTGCAAGACAGCGCCCATTATGATCTCTAATCAGACCACCGGCAGCTGCCTGGCCTGACTCAGTATGAACAGAGCCGTCGGAGTTGAGAGTAACCCACTCGGGAGGTGGCGGCTTCCACGAGATCTCCACCTCCGTTCTCATAGGCAGACGAGGCTGGTGAATTAGCCTGTCTTTGTCCAAAGCATTCCGCACGACATTAATCCATGCTCGAACGCGCTGTATAAAGGCTGCAGTGGTCGTGATCTTGCCTGCAAAGACTCGATCATTCCTGGTCCTCCACAGGGACCAGCAAACAATGCCGAACTCCAGGCTAGTGAGGTCCTGTCGGATCTGGTTCCGAATCCATTCCTGCAACTGGGATCTAAAAAACCGCTGGTGGTCAGAAGGCTGAATGAACTGCATCCAAGTTAACCTGGAAAACTCACAGTCTCGCAACACATGCAAGACTGTTTCGGGGGCCGCTTTGCATTGGGGGCAGATATTTGTGGTTGAAAGATGTCGCCTGTGTCTTTCGACGTTGGTGAGGAGGCGCTCTCTTGTTGCTAACCAGAGGAAATGGGTGACACGGGCCGGTCCTCTCCATCGCCAAATAGAGCGCCAGTCGACGGTGTTCCTCTCCTCCTCTCCTTGACAAATGAGCTGATATGCTGACTTCACCCGGAACCGTCCGTCCTTCTCTGGTCCCCAAGTCGGGGAGTCCGCTCCGTACCCTTCCCTTGGCGGCTGAACGCCCAACACCTGCAAGACAAGCTCCTCAGGCAAATGTGAGCGTAAGAGTTGAACATTCCACTCACCATCAGTAGCGAAATGGGCCACAGGGAGGGCGGGGTCAATCTGGGGGCTCGAGTCCAACGCATAGTCTATGAGCATCTCCCCCGAGTCCACCCATCTATCCGTCCAGAAGCTTGTTTCCAGCCCGTCTCTGATGCTCATTCTCATACCCAACATCATTACTGGCCACGCCTTCCTGATCCCTCTCCACAGGTTGGATGCTCTCGCCATAGACTTTGCCTGCATCCCCCCGTTAACCTGTTTAAAGTATTTAGCCTGCAGCACTTTAACCCACAGTTCATCAGGTTTTTTAACGAACATCCAAGCAAGTTTCGTTAGGAACGCGATGTTAAGCTCATGAGCCTTTCTTAGCCCCAAACCCCCCTCTTCCTTGGGCTTGCAGATGCCCTCCCAATGGACTAGGTGAATCTTCCGAGCTTCAGCAGTGGACCCCCATATGAACCGCCTGATTCTTTTGTCTATCTCATCACAGATGGAGATTGGTAGCAGAGTAGTTTGCATCGCATAGGTGGGTAGGGAACTAAGCACCGACGTCGCCAGTGTCACCCGCCCCGCCAGGGACAGTGATTTTGCCTTCCACCCCGCCAGGGACAGTGATTTTGCCTTCCACCCGCCAGGGACAGATGAAAAGTTAACTGTTTGCTTATTATTTTATTCAAAATTAAAGATTTGACTGTTTTAACCCTCCATTTGTTCTCATAAACTACTGCATCTCCTAACTATTATTAGGCCTACTAATGAGCCGACTCGAGCTTTACCTTGTCCAGACTTGGCTCGTTTATAAGCGAACTGAGCCGACTAATTTTATCAGCACATTGGCTCAACAGTAAGCTCATGAGTTCGATTCAAGATTAACTCATTTGTTCTAGATAGTTGAACCCTTAAACTAAACTCCGAGATAAATTAAATACCCTAATATTTGTATGTTATGTACTCATGTGTGATACATGTGATTAATTGATCCCATGTTTAAACTTTGTTGGTATCGTATTATTTAGTAAATAAATTTTAAGTCCATATTATATAATTTCATCAATAGTATCTAAGCAATGTATGATGCACAATTTATCTTTTAAATAATCAAGGAGATATATTTGCTCACATTCTTAAAGTCTTAAACATCATATGAGGTAAGATATACAATTTAACAAACTTACAAATCATCGTCAAGGCAACTAATAAGATATAGATCGATTTTCTCGATTTCGGTAGTCGAGTTGGCTCGCTAGTCATAATGTTGAGACGTCTCAGGAGCTCAAAACAAGATATTTCACGAATTGAGTTCAACAAGCCATCGAATTGAATTGGATCACTAGATGAACGGGACTTAAAACGAATTTAACTTGTTAATAAACGAGTCAAATTTTTTCTGTACAAAGTCTTTATCAAGTCGAACCGTTCGTGAGTAACTTATCGGGTGAGCATCCCTAGCTATGAAATACCAAGTGCCCAATTGACCAATCGAGTCAGAAAAGCCCAAGTTGCTGGGCTTTAGGAAGGAACCACTCAAACGATGGGCTTCTGCACGGTCCATCATGAAACGTCCCCAAGAGTGTACCAGCAACCAGCTCACGGCTGAAGGAAACCCTAGCAGGCAGCAGCTGGCCAGCTCTACGGTTAGGTAATTACTGATTAGCTCCGCTAAGAAGATGCAGCGGTCGTCACTCCGTCCGTCAGTAGGGACCACATAGCAAATTGATGATTGCTTTGAGGACTATATTGCCAATTGCTGATGGCTTTGAGGACCACAGCGGGAAAAGGGAAAACCAAAGCCACCTCAGAAATCGAAAAATCACCCCGACCTCACTTTTCTTCCTATTTAGTAGAAAAAGAGGAGGCACACATCAAGAAACACTGAATTGCCTATCTCACATCATCTCTCTCTCTCTAGGGCTCTAGCCGTATTCGACCTTTGCGCTGCTCAGCTCTTCACCCAACCGTCCAGATTCGTACTTCCTCCTCCCGACGTTTCACCCAACGTAAGCACCACTCTGTTGTTCTCGAATTATTATCATCTCGTCTCTACGCCAGGAACGATTTCTTTTTGTTCGTGACTATGGAGTGTCTGTCGCAGTTTTAGGGTTTTCGAAGCTGCTTGGTTCTTCCTACTGCCTCCCAATTGATTCGAACAATTATGGTTCTCTTGTACTCTTTCCGCTAGTGGCTAGATAGCGTTTGTTCTTTCGTCTGTCTTGTGTTTAAAGGGTATATGAATTTCGGTTCTGGGTTTTTATTGGTAGGCAAAGCTTGCATTACGTACGAAATTATAGGTTTATTAGGAATTAGCATCAATGCTCTATTTTGCCCCGCAAGCGTAGTGTACACTTTCTGGTTATTTGAGTGAAGAAGTAACAAGTATATGCTATAGCTTTGTGCTGCTCTAGTGACTCATCGTGGGTTGTTCTCCGTCGCTCTTCTATGGCTCCACGCTGTAATAATTTCCGCTGAATGGTGACTACTGTGTTTAGAAGAAGCCTGACACTTGAGTTGCTGACTTGATTGTGTCAGAGGTTTTAAAAGTGTTATGATATTTGTTTGCGAGCAATGTGATATGTCTTTTAAAGGTTTTTCCATTGTCAATATCGAATGTGCTTTTGTGTTGTTAGGAACTTATTGCAAGCAGGGCAATATCTCTGTTTTGATTTGTCTTTTTGTTTTGAGGTATGGATTGCTTATGTATGTTAGTTCGTAATCGTATCTCTTACATTTGCTCTTCTTTCAGACATATTAATGTTTAAGGCTTCTTGTGTGCAGTACTGATTCACAATTATGGCTGAAGTTGGCCATGACGTTGGTGAACAAGAGATTGAGCATGATGCAGTTCCTGGTCTTCAGCTTACAGGGGACCAGAGTGCAGAACATGCTGTAGGTAGTGTTGGTGATACCATTGGTCTGGATCAAGTAACAGATCAGGGTTTGGATCATCCTGTAGATCAGGGCGTGGATTATATACCAGTGCATGTTACAGATCATTCTCTTGATCCCAATGGTGATCATGATACAGATCATGGTGCTGATTCCACTATAGATCATGCATCAGATGGCGAGGTGGTCGTTGAACACGAGGCTGAACACAGTGGAGATCATAATTTGAATCAGGTAATTGATCACAACATTGATCAGGAGACTGTGGAGGAACCTGACCGTCTTCAGGAAGATGAAGAAAAACAAGGGCATTCAGAGGATGCTACTGGTGCCGTTGCTGAAAAAAGGTGGCCAGGGTGGCCTGGAGAGAGTGTGTTCCGGATGTTGGTTCCTGCACAGAAAGTTGGCAGTATAATTGGGCGCAAGGGTGAGTTCATTAAGAAAATAGTAGAAGAGACACGAGCCCGAGTTAAGATACTTGATGGTCCACCTGGAACGGCAGAACGAGCAGTAAGTTGGTTATACAATTTTGTGACTTGTATATTTGTGTCATTCAACTGGGCTGTTGGTGTAAATGTCAGTCTGCATTCTTCTTGTCCCAATTTGTTCAAACCGTTCATTGCATATTGCCGTGTCTCCCTAATTTGGGGTGAATTTGGCAGTTCACCCCTTAGAGAACACTTGATTTTTTTTTGCATAACTGAATTAGTGTATTAGCATATGATCTGATTTTAGTGTATTGGCATAACTGAATCATGCCTGCTTTCTGATGATACAATAACTCATGAAGTCACACTTATCTTTAAGTTGATTAACACATTATTGAATAGATATAGGAGTTTGAGTGAAGATTTGTTAATTTTATACTCAACGGTAAAGAATAATTTACTTAATGGTATAACTGTAAAACAGAAAGTAAATAAACAAACATACCTAAAGGTGAGATGCTAAGGTGACTGCAAAAAGGATGGGAGGAAAATTTGCCATGGGGAATGCCTGATTTTTAACTATGCAGTGTTGGCATTCTCATAATATTAAGTGAATTTAAAAATCTGTTCCCTCACATGTCAAGTACTTCCCTGCCTCTGCCTCTACCATCTACCAAGATTAAACAATCAGTTGTGAACAACAAATTTGGAGGTTTAAGTATGTAATCTAAGTTGTTGATAACCCTGCAACGACAGAGCCGAATTATGGAGGATCAGTGATCCAAATGGAAAGATAAAAAAGGAACTAAAACTGCTCCAAAAAATTATGACATGGTTCCTTTTATTGCAATAATGATAATGGATCTATGCAGGTTCCATTGCAAATTTTTAAGGCCACGAATCACTCATCATTAGGCCATCAATTTTGAAGAACCAAAGATCCAGATTGCAGGGATCAGCATTGAGCCTTACAAAGTGCCGAAAAGTTGATTTGAATAAACAGTCAAACAGCTGTTTGAAGAAGTTCTGCATCTCCCTGGTAACTTCAGAACTTGGATGCCTGATTTCTTGCGGCAGATTGTAAAGATCATAAGGAACACCAGTTAAAATTGGCGGTGAAGGCAAGCTGAAGATGATGTGAATTTACAACTGCTATGTAAAATTATTGAAACTTACAAGATCATAAATCACATAAAGCAGCTAAGAAATCAGTTGTTAACATATTGAATAACATATTAAGCTTGCTAATCTTCATGCAGTGTTGCGACTAATTACTCTGGAGTCTTGACAGTTCGTCAGGATAGTGAAAAAAGTACTAAAGACTAGAATGTGCTAAAAAAGGCTTGATTGCTGAAGAACTGGTTAATTTCTTTTTTCTTTTTCCTGAATAATTCTTGAGTAACAACTTCTGGCAGATGTTGTAAATATTAAAGTTTTCCATCCTAGTGCTCATGCATTCTTTCATGTTCTTATGAGCAAGATAGTCTATATAAGCTTCCATGATCGTCTTGGTCACTTTGAATTACTTGTATGCTGATGTTCTTTGCACATCAGGTAATGGTATCTGGCAGGGAGGAACCGGATTCTTCACTTCCTCCTGCTATGGATGGCCTCTTACGTGTTCACAAACGTATTATTGATGGTTTAGAGGGTGATGCTTCTAATACTCAATCTGGCACACCTCCCAGAGTATCAACGAGGCTCCTAGTACCAGCTTCACAAGCAGGAAGTTTGATTGGAAAGCAAGGAGCGACTGTTAAATCCATACAAGAGACATCTGGGGCTGTTGTTCGAGTTCTTGGATCAGGTATATCTACATGCTTATGTTTCACTCCTTTTGGTCACAACTGCATAAATGTTTGGGTGGAACATTTTCACCAAAAACAATTTCTTAATTGCAAGTATTGTTTTGGTTTGTGATTATCTATGGTACTGTAGTCAGTTATTGCCTATTGACTTCCTTTTGGATATATACTTATATCCTCTTTCCATTCTCATGCACCCATTATAAACGTGTCTTTGCTACTGAAATGGAAAAATTAACTTCTCAAGATATGCACTAAAATTGTGGTATGGTTCTACTTCATTCTCTTTTTGGAATCAGGAGCATTTCTTCTGGTGTCCAAATTTTATCTTTGGATTAGACTTTGTAGTGTGTCTGTGGTTTGCTTTCTTCTGAATATTGTTGGTGTGATTGTTTGGAAGCCTCATTTTTCAGAAGATATTCTGCTCTGCTGTTATGCATTATTACATAATGATGTGGTTTGAAGCAAAGATTTCTCTTATTGCCTTTTAATCTTTTGTTTTTCGTGTAAACAACACAGATGATCTCCCAGTTTTTTCACTTCAAGACGACAGGGCTGTTGAAGTCCTGGGAGATGCAGCTTGTGTCCACAAGGCTCTGGAGTTGATTGCATCTCATCTCAGAAAGTTTCTGGTCGACCGTAGTATAATTCCTGTCTTTGAAAATTCTGTAAGCTTCTGTCCCTTGTTACATATTGTTTGCTTGATCCCTTTTGTTGTGATAGAGACTCACTGTTTCATGTTCTTTTTACTGAAGATGCAAATGCCAAATCATCACCAAATGGATCATATGCCGCCACCTCATCAATCATGGGGACCTCCACAGGGTCTTCCACCACCTGCTGGTGGGGGGCCTCCGTATGGACATAATCCTCCTCAATATATGCCGCCTCCACGGCAAGTTGACAATTACTATCCACCAGCAGACATGCCCCCACCGATGGAGAAACAGCCTCACCAAGGCATTTCTGCCTACGGGAGAGAAGCTCCTATGAGTGGTCATCCCTCGTCAAATTCCCAGGCTCCATCAATGATAACACAGGTACGCTTTTTCTCTACTGTCCTTTTATTATTCTGCCCTTAAGTTTGTTTCTTAGTCATGCTTAATCACTATTAAAATACTATTAGGGCGATTCAGTTGTTTGTATTTTGGAGAGTGATATTTGCCAAAGCATGATTTTGAACAGAGGTAGTTTTTCATGACACCATGCATGTATTTGAGGGTGCGTTTGGATAAGTGTATTTTAAATGTAAGGTATTTGAAATACTAGCATTTGAAATGAATGTATTTGAAATATTAGTATTTGAAATACATGTAATTCAAATTCATTGTTTGGATACTCATTTGTAATTTGTTTGTGTTTTGTATTTTACGATTTTCAATTTGAATTTTTAAATTACTGGTCACTTACTACAAATTTTGGTAAATTACAGTTTGGTACCCAAATTTATTTTTTCTTACAATTTAGTACCTAAAATTTTAAAATTTTACAAAAAGGTCGTGAAATTTTGATAGTAAAATTACATTTTGGTACCTTTATATGTTTTTCCTCACACTATAGTACCTAAACTTTTCATATTTTACAAATAGGTCCAATTTTTTGTTATGAGGTATTTCAAATCACTAGTTGTTGAAATGTATTTGAAGTTGACAAAAAATACACTAGACGTGTATTTGGAAATCACCCCATGAATTTGACACAAATCCAAATACCAAATGTAATTAATATCCAAACACATGATTTGGTATTTCGAAATCCAAATCACAAATACCAAATCCAAATCATTGTATCCAAACGCACCCTGAGTGTATTTGAGATCTTACATGTAATCTAAAATGCATGAAAATGGTGCAATCTCAAATAAACGGGGTAAGAAAGTATTTGAAAATACATCTTAGAGAAGTGTGCTCTACATGCTTTTATTTTTCTTCCTATTTTTCTGGCGCAATTTGCTGTACAGAGATCCATTGAATCAGATGATGCTTTTGTAAATGCATCAATGTTGTGGAGACTTTAAATCTTGAGGTGCATGAAGTTTAATGCATGGAACCAATGTTAGCCTCCAAAATCGTGGTTTGATAAAATAAGGTGTCTGATCTACATTGAGTAATGGATTTCTGATGTTTCCCGAGTTTGAGTGAAGTTTTCTATGAATTTTGTGCTAACGGCTCATTTCAGCTGTGTTGTTAAAGTCGAACTATATAGTCCCTAGATGCCAAATAGGGACTCTTCCCCAACATTGATTGTCCTTATCCTTTGTAGATTACGCAGCAAATGCAGATCCCGTTATCGTATGCTGATGCTGTTATTGGAACGGCGGGTGCAAGTATAAGCTACATCCGGCGTGCTAGCGGTGCTACTGTGACTATACAAGAAACCAGAGGTGTACCTGGGGAAATGACAGTAGAAATCAGTGGAAGTGCATCTCAAGTTCAAACAGCTCAACAGCTAATCCAGGTCAAGTATTTTTTTCTGGATTTCCGTTTATTTTCATTTTACATGTACGACTCTCTCTGGACGCCTGTTTTGATAGTAACACGCCCGCCCTTTCTGTATTTCAGAACTTCATGGCTGAAGCTGGTGCGCCAATACAAGGACAAACAGGTGGACCAGCAGAGCAGGCATATAACCCGTACGCAGGCCATGGCTCTGTGTACCCGTCGCCACCTTCCAACGCTGGACATGCAGGAGGGTACGGTTCTATGTATGGCACCAACTATGGGTACTAAGGAGCCAAATGGTCGATTCTCTTACTAGTGAGTTGAGTTTTGGTTGTATGAGAGAAACGAAATCCTTTCGAGACAGCCATTCTAATGTTGTACTTGAAACTTGTAGCCAGCAGTTTTAGAGGAGGGAAGGAGCTAGTTTTTGTTGTGTGAAAATTTAATCGGAAGAAACTGAAGTGAATTTGTTCCAACTGACAATTCGTTCTAGCCAAAGCCGACCCAAGTTCGTTATATTTTCGATTTCGGTCATCGACTCGGCATATCTCCTAGCAAACCTGAAGGTCGCAGTCCCGTTGATCGTCGGAACCTCCTTCAACGGCTAGAACACTGTGTACCTTCGTCGACTCAGCATATCTCCTAGGAAACCTGAAGGTCGCAGTCCCGTTGATCGCCGGAACCTCCTTCAACGGTGAGAACACTGTGTACCTCCTAAACACGGTGAGCGTGCTAATGTTAATATGCCTTCTGAAGAAATGAAAGAAATTAACATTGTACTCTGCGGTAGCATCCCATAGTGTTCGGGTTGGAGGATTGAGTCCTAACCTCAACATATCACCTAGCAAACCTGAGAGCCCCAGTCCTGCCGATCACTGACAGCTCCTTCCTTCAACGGCGAGATCACTACGTGCATTCCCATCCTGGTACCACTTACGGTTTTAACACAAATTTTGAAAACTTTTGTATAGAAGGAACGTATTCACTGTGATTTACAAATTTCACGAACAGAATTTTCAGCACCAAAATATACCACACTAGTATAAGGTGGTAACTCGTGGTAGATGATAACTCGTGGTAGATGATGGTGAAAGGTGGTTAATATATTTCTACTATCATGTATATAACCATTCTAAACTATAATATATCCATACTAGCATAGTACCTTAAATACCACCATGGTATAATCTTATGTATCAGGCATCACCACCATGTATATACTAGTAATATATGTCTCGATTCTTTTGGGCCAGAATATATTAAAGTGGATGTCATTTTGAAATCTATGGGGTCGTTTGGAGAACGGGATTTAGGGTGTGGATTCATTCAATCAATAGATTTTGTAGAAAGTTATGTTTGTTTGTTGCTTTTTGAGTTGTGGATTTGAGCTTTAGAGATTTCAAATCTCTAAAATCTACGGATATAAAATCTCTCATAATCAGAGAGATTCTATATCTTGATTCGAGAGAGTTTTTTCCTCCTACCTTTTCTCTTTCTTTCTTTTATTTATTTATTTATCATATTAAATATATTTATCAACAAAGTTTTTAATATTTCTCGAACCACTCTAATATTTTATTAATGATAAACATGTTATTTAATATAAAATTATTTTTTATTTTCATTGAATGTTAACAATCACAGTTACCAAACAATAAACATTTTAAAATCTATTTTCAACAATCTGAAAAGTTAGAATCTTTAGATTATTGACAATCTATAGATTTAAACTCATATTCTCCAAACGACCCCTATGATTTTTCTATGCAAAAAATTATGAATTACGACTTAAGTTATACATAATCAATAAGCAACCAGCTTCTCCTTCTTGGTTGTTTCCAAAAGATATTTTCTTGTAGGATCCTATCAGTTGTTGTAGTAATTTTATTCAAAGAAGTCTATAACCAGATCTACTCGAGTTACCAACTTTATATTTTTCCTTTCCATTTTCACATAACTCATCCTCGAAACCATGTTGACATTATTATTTCCTTATATTCTCTCACTCAAATTTCTAACAACTCATCATGTCATACTACTCCTCCCATCATTTTTCTACTTTTAGATTAGTCTCAACATTGATCAAACAATGTCTAATGAAGTAAATAAACACATATAATTGTCAATTTCATGATTTATCAGAATTACCAACTAAACGTGTTTCTATTTTTTTCCATGGTGTTGTGGTTGTACCTATGTTGTCACAACAATATTGCAACGATAATAATATAAAAAATGTACTAAACGAGCTCTTAAGTATTTTCATTGTATCTTTAATGCTTATTTAGTTTGAACAATTGGCTACAATGCTTTTGTAGAAGAGCTTAAAATTCAGGAAAGAAGAAGAAATTTGGAGTTGAAGAGAAGTTCATACCAAAATAAGTCAATTGTATATAATTAAGACATTGGGTACTATGTAAAATCGTAAGTTTTCAAAGTTTTGAGAGTGATTCTGTCAGTTTGAAAGATAGACAATCCATAGGTCACCTAACAAGAGACTAATCTAGTTCATTTACATGGTATGGTGTTGATTGATATCATAGCTTCACAACTATCTTAAAGCGGACGAGAGATAACACTCAAGATAGAGACTAGACTCTTGTTCTAGAAGAGAGATCATGCACATTAGTATTTCCATTGGTAAGATTGAAGGATAAATCCAAAGTTCTTCACTAAGGAAATTGGGTTGAACCAGGCGAAACTACCATAGGCAACGTCTCATTTACTTCTCTTTCCACTCACTTTAAGCTATTGCTCTTTACTTTCTTGCATAGTAGACCCACCACCTTGATGCGCCTTAACCCCAATTCTAGACTCAAAACATCTGTTGTGGATCTAAAGTAGAGACATTTTGGTTAGGTTAATTACTTTTTGCCATGTAGTACAGTCGCCAACTACAAAATCGTGAGCCGAAGACACTATGGAATACGACCATAGACATTTTGTTTAGGTCAATTACTTTTTCCGACGTATTACTGTTGTCACCTACAGAACTGTGAGAGTAAGAACTTTTTGGAGGCAAAATTCTGAATTTTTGAATTGTCTTGTCCTAGTTCGGAATCGTCGGAAAAAAATAAAGGGTGGCCCTACGGGCTACGATGAATAGGGGGCATCTTAATGACATTGTATTTTCGTACTTTCTCCATGGATGACTTTCGGGTTAATACCATATTTGGTCACTGGGATTACTAAATCGTGACATGTTTAGTCACTAGAAAAAATTAATATCAAGTTTGGTCACTCAAATTACTAAAACAGGTCATATTTAGTCACTCTCCGTTAGTCTCCGTCCAACTCTGTTAAAAAGTGCTGACGTGGCTAATGGGAGCGCCTAATCAGCGTCGTTTTGGCCCAAAAATGGCCAAACCCGACCCGCCACGTCACTAAACCCGCCATGTCATACACCCAACCCAACCCATTAACCAAACCAAACCTAGAACCAACCTCGACCCATTTAACAACACAAAATTGAAAAATCAATTGGGTTAGTGGCCATTTTCAGACCCGAAACCCTTCTCCTTCCTCGCGAAGCTCTGATGTGTTCGATCGAAAATGGTAGAATCTAGAGGAAAGTGCTTACCCTTTTCATTACAATTCTTTTTCCATTCTATCTCCCAAACAAAACAGCAACTAGAGAAAGAGCTACATTTACCATTCTAATCTTCTACCAAACTAGACAAGCAAACAAACAAAACAAAAGCAGAAACTGAAATCGAAAAGCAAAACAAAACATTTCATTACCAGCAGTATCCTGCTTGTTCTTGACCCTAACATGTCCTTTAATCCCCTGCTTATCTATACCAAGCCCCTATGCTTCTTCCCATCCTTGCCGAACAATTCGTCAAAAACAGTAACAACCAAACCCTAGCCCTATTTCAGTACCAAAAAGACACATCACAGACGCGTAGAGTCGACGGCTATGGAAGTAGCAGAAGTACCATCTGTTTCATGAGCCGGAAAGCGGCAGACTTTCAGGCTACCCCGACGTAGTTGAGAGGGGCTTCGGGAGCGGTCAGTTTTTCATCTACTCTCTCGCGGTACCCTTCTTCAGCTGCGTGCGGCGACGGAACTGTCAGCCTGCTTCCTGGACGGTTGTTAGATCAGAGCGGAAGAGGAGAAATTTGAGAGAAGTAAACCTAGGGCGAAAGAAGAGAAAAAAGGAGCAAATTAGGTGTGTTGTGAAAGTCTTCGCGAGGAAGGATAAGGGTTTCGGGTCTGAAAATGGCCACTAACCCAATTGATTTTTCAATTTTGTGTTGTTAAATGGGTTGGGTTTGGTTCTAGGTTCGGTTTGGTTAATGGGTTGGGTTGGGTGTATGACATGGCGGGTTTAGTGACGTGGCGGGTCGGGTTTGACCATTTTTGGGTCAAAATGGCGCTGATTAGGCGCTCCCGTTAGCCACATCAGCACTTGTTAACGGATTTGGACGGAGACTAACGGAGAGTGACTAAATGTGACCTGTTTTAGTAATTTGAGTGACCAAAGTTGATATTAATTTTTTTTAGTGACTAAACATGTCATGATTTTGTAATCTCAGTGACCAAATGTGGCATTAACCCGATGACTTTCATATTGTGAACGTGTCTTGGGCTAGTATTTGAGTTGTTGGGCCCAAATTTCTCTTAATATGATTTTGCGACCGGTCCGCCTAATAAGTCTATAGTCTGTTAAGTTTGCTAGTTTCAATCCAACAATTCTTGTCTTAAAAAAATGCTTGTAAGTAATTTGAAAAATAAAATTTATTCTTAAAAGTTTTGGACTCATCCCTAACTAGCACAATTCAAATTCCTCAAGATTAATTTTCACTCCTTACTTAGCTTTCTGTCTTTGTTACTTATGTTACTCTGATTAAATCATCATAATTAATATGAAACTAAACATTGAGTGGCTCCCTCTAGGATTTACAAAGCAACTCAATCTGCTTTGTGATTTTTTTTTTACAAGAGATAATCATATATAGATTGAAATAGAGATAGTTACATCCTGAAAGTCAGTCACGCCTAGAAATCAAAAGAACGACTTGCAGTCGGGAACAAGGACAGGGCCTTTCTAGCTACAACTTGAGCTACCCTATTGCTACTCCGACCTACAAATCGCAAAGTAAAATCCGTTCTCAAACCAAGCAAATGAATAACTTCTTCCAGTATAGCCCCCACTTGGTTGTCATCAGTATCGCCACGCACGATTTTCTCAATCACCACCTTAGCATCACCTTCAAACCTCATTCCCGTAAAACCAAGACCTATGGCCCAGGACACGACCTCACGAAGTGTAAGCAATTCTGCCACCATTGGATCGTCAATAATCTGCTTTGTGATTGAGGTGTTGTGAGATCAAGAAAATAGATATATTATTAAGTTGGTGTAATGAAGATTTTGTTAATGAAGGCAATCCATCATGTGCGTATGACACTCTCAAGGCCACAGGTTGCACAGGCATAATCAAAATTTACTAGATTTTTTAAAAAAATTTTAATTTATAATCGTATCGAGTTCGACATTAGTAGTGCATGATTGCGAAAGAAGAAAATATTTTGCTTATATGCAATAATCAGTGATGAACGAAGATAAGGATAGACACTGGAAAGCTATTAGGTTTTCTCCTATAGGACCTCCTCTCTTCCATATGATTTTTTTCCTTTTGTTGATGACCTAGTTCTGTTTGCTTAAGCTAATCCTAAACAAGTTGAAATTATCATGGAATGTATGGAGAAATTTTGCGACGCTTAATGGGAGATTATCAGCAAAGAGAAGCCCAAAGTCTTCTTCTCTATGAACATGAGGAATATTGACAAACAAAATATTTGTGGCGGGGCAGTATCCATTCTACTAATTACCTTGGAAGATACTTAGGTGTACGAGTTCTCTAAGACTTAGTCAGGCGGGAGTCGGAATTGGCTCGAATAAGTTCGTCATAGATCTTGTAGGCAGTGTCTTTCATCGATGCGAATAATAACTCCAATTTCATGGTTGTCCGGGAAACGATACGGTGGGCTTTATAATTTGAGTGTAGACGAACGACCGAGATTACCCGCGCACAATCGGGGTGCCTGGACTAGACGGTTGGTATGGGAAATTAATTGTAATCAATTATAATTTATATTTTTTAATTGTGAGGTGGAAATTATTAAAATTGTAAGTTTATTATTTTTAATTGACTAGTCAACAATTTAACAATCAAACGTTAAAGTTGACTTTCCTCTAGGACAAAGATAAGGAGGGTGACCATTGGTGAATTGCAAATGTATTGTACGTGACCATTTATGTAATTAATTTTTTTAATGGCAAACATGAAAAAATAGGAAACATAGTGACCGAACATGCAATTTACCCATTATATTAGCTACCAAAATAAAATAGACTTCGGTTTTATTGCAGTGATCCATCAACTTATCTCTCTTAAAAGCACCAGAAATGCTGCTCAATCAAGTGACATAATTGAGTAAAGCCCCACCTCCTGCAACTTCTACTAACTAGCTACTACTCTTAACAACTAATACATACCATCCTACAGTAAGAAATCTAGTAAAAGGATAGAAGCCATACTCTTCGCACATTATAAATAAGCTCAATTACAAGACTTCCTCCTTCAACCAAATCTGCTAAAAGGAACCTTCCATTCACAGTCGATAGAGATTTGAGATGTCCTACTATATGGGCGCTGCGCACGTCGTTCTGAAATGACCCGTCTGGTTGCACCTGCTGCAATGCACCACCCGTTTGACCCGCCCACGATCTTCCGCCCGCACCCTCTTCTTCCTCGGTCTCCCTGGCGGCCTAAGCGACTTGGGCGGGTTGATCACAATCTCAACAGCACTGCTGGAATTGGGATCAGCATCTGCAAGTTCCTTCCACACGATCTTATCCGGTATCGGGTGGATGGTCTGCGAATACGTCTTCCTATAAGTCGCCACTGTGAAGCAGCTCTCAGTGAAACGATGCACGTTCTGTCTGCATGAGAGAAGCGCCGCCACAGCATGCGCACAGGGTAAGCCATGGATCTGCCAGCCCCGACACAAGCAGCACCGGTTTCTTATGTCCACTATATTCGTCCCCTCGTGAGATATAACTTCAAACTCGGCTTCGTTGGCTCGCAGCACCTGATAGCTTCTCGCACGCTCGAGAGCCTCTGCAACACACCTCTCGGCAGATGGCACAAGTATTGATGTCCACTGCATGCTGGTCTCGCGTCGTTCATTGAACCAAGTCATCAGCTGCCTCCTTATGCATTCCATCATCTGGACTATAGGAAGCCCTGAGGCTTCAAGGATCCAAGGGTTCAACGAATCCACAATATTCGCAGTCAAATGACCAAATCGGGTTCCTTCGAAGTAAGCCGTGGCCCATAGCCTTGGGGGTATTCTGCGTATCCAGTATGCTGCATCTTCTGATATCTGCTCAATCTCAATGATTTTGGCTTCGAATTCAATGACGGTTAGAGCGTGAGCACCTTCCCATAATAGGTTGACCAGCATTGTATCGTTGAACTCCTTTCTGAAGCTTTCACTCAGATGGCGCATGCAGAACCCATGGAAAGCAGTTGGGAAGTTGGCTTCAACTCCATCAACGATGCCCTTTTGCCTGTCTGACAAAATTGTAAGCCTGGGCATGTTTTCAGTGTTTACCTCGAGAAGGTTATGAAGTTCAGAGAGAAACCACATCCAGTTATCATCGTTCTCCTCATCAACCACACCAAATGCCAATGGAAATAGAGCACCATCCCCATCGAAGCCAGTAGCAAGAAGCAACGTGCCCAGGTACTTGCTCTTTAGATACGTTCTATCCAGTCCAAGGAGAGGCCTGCAGCCGTTCAAAAACCCATGGATTGAAGCCTGGAATGATATGAAGAGACGCTGGAAGCAATTATCCGTTAGGTTCCCATACACCGCTGCAATACTTCCAGGGTTGGTTCTTTTAACCTGGTCACAGTATTGTGGTAGCAATCGATATCCTTCTTCAAAGGAGCCACGCATGGCAGCCATGATACGCTCTTTCCCTCTCCATGCCTGCTTGTATGATAAAGTGATCCCATGAGTGCGATGAATGTCTTCCAGTATCTCCTTGGGTTTGTAATTAGGGTTGTCCCTAAGTCGCTGCTCCACAGAGCTTGCAACCCACTGAACAGAGGCTTGTTGATGACCAAGGTGAGAGATTCCACCACAGGTGTGAGATTCGTGTATGGTTCTGATTGTGAAAGTAGGTACACCAGGGAGTTTTGCAGCATGAATCCGCCAGGGGCACCCTTCAGTTGCACACTTAGCTGTGAATCGAGTTTTGTCCGATTTTATGGTTTGCATTTCAAAATGAAGGGCAATTGCTGTGTCCCTCAGTGCCCTGCGGCAGCTGATCACATCTGGAAACTCTTGCCCCACTTTCAACTCATAGCTGGGGCCTGCAAGAACTGTGCGGGCTTGAAGGACAGGTGTATGGAAGACAAGGGACTGGTCCATTGACAAATCATCACTATGTTCTTGCATTCCCATTTCCTCATCGCCTTCCTGCACAGCAAGTTCCAGGTGAGCAACAAGTTCTTGGTCATCATCAGAAACAGGTGATTCGTGGTTGTTCTCAGATAAAACCAGTTGACGACCCTGTACAGGAAGTGCCAGCTCGTGCCCAACTGGCTCGGGTTTCCGATCAATGCCTCCTAACTCGTTTTCGTGCCCATAACTGTGACCGGAATCTGCTTCATCATGGCCATTGGTCTGTCCCAATCCCAATTCGTGGTCATGGGAATGCCCTAAGCCCAGTTCGTCATGATCTTGAGACTGTCCCAGATCCAGGTGACGATGGTCGTGTCCTTGTCCCAATTCCAGACTATCATGACTTTGGGACAGATCTTGACCAGGATTATGGCCTAAATCCAGTTGTTGATTCTCCCTAAGCCCTACATTGTGATTCTGTCCGAATATAACTTCATGTTCAGCCATCTGAAAAAGGTTAATTCCGGTATGCTGACAGCTGTGACAATTATACTCCCCCCAGAAAGAACTACGGTTTTGCTGATTGGAGTAGTGAATCAATTGTCCCTCAATACTCTACCTGCAAACCAAAAGCAAAAGACACAAACATGGTAAACCTTACAGCTTCCACGACTAGACTGAAAATCCTTAACTGAAGGTCCTTCATAATGTTGATTCAAAGTTGAAATTGCAGATTCATAACATTGAGTGACGCAACCACTGATGACCCATCTTAGAAAAAAACTGCACTGCAGGGTTAAAGGATGATGAAAAGACTATTTCTTTGACTAAGAATTTTCAGTTTCGACAGGGTTAACAGAAACATACCTATAGAAGCAGACAATTGATAGCCCGAGCCTAAGCCGTGGCCGCCACTTTCATCCGTTGAATCGAGTGCACAAATGACCAGCGAAAGCAGTAAGCTTTGGAATCTCGTACAGAAGAATCGGCAACCTAATCAACAAACAATTGTCTTCTCAACAACCATAAAACAGCTAGTTGAAAGACGATGGACCTAAAAAACTCATCTTGGATCAACAAAAAGAAGAGAGAACTGGGTAATGAAGTAAAGAAGAAAGCAGCAGAAACGAAATTGAAGTAGTAGAACGCAGAATTCCAAATAATCAACCACGGAAAAACCACAAATAGACACGCGCGCGAACAACCGACAGAAACCCTAGCAGGAAACAATTCATTCTGAAATTGCAGCAGGAACCCACCTCTGAATGAGCAACCAACTTAAGAAAGCGAACTGGGTAGGGATGAAAACTGAAGAAAAAGCAAGTGCAGAGACCGAGTGAGCGAATCCAATGGGGGCGCTAGGGTTTTGCTCCGTTGTGCGACATTCTTGAGCAAACGGGAAGGAATAGAGAAGGAGAAGGTAACGAGAATTCAAAAAGATGAGGAGTTGGCGGGTAATGGAGGTAGGAAGGAGAAGATCGGAAAAAAGCAAAGGAGATTTGGGAGGAAGGGCAAGAAGGAAAAGAGAGAAATTGGGGGCAGGGGCGAGGGTGGGATTGGGAAATCAGAGAGAGGCGAAGCGTAGCGGCGAGGGTTGAGAAGGGAAATACAGAGATACCGATTTCAAGTGAAAAGGGGGTATTTATGTCATTGAATTTCCACTCTTACTTTATTTGTTTTGTTTTTCCCCTCTCTTGGGGTGTTTGTTGGAATTTACGGCCGCCACCACTCCTTGTCCATTTTCACTAATTTTTTTTTTTTTATAACCCAGGGAACCTCAGCCCCACGTGCCGCTAGAGCGACAGCGGGGCCTACTAAACCACTGGGGGTACCTGCATACTAACCGGGGCTTTCTGCTACCAACATCGGGGAGGCTTCGCCTCCGATACCAAGGGTGCCGCCGGGAACGCACAAGTGGCTCCACTGGGAATCGAACTCAGGACCTCTCACATCCAGAGCTCAATTGGACCAGTGTTTTCACCACTAGGCTATGTTACCTTTGGCGTCCATTTTCACTAATTAGAGCAACGTTTTGTTGCATTTTGATTGGACTAGATCATACCGAATTAAATATAATGCGATTTGACTCTTGATCATATGAATTTTAAATAAATACCCAAGAAAAATGGATTGAATTGACGCAAACTAGACCAAAACAGACCGAATGCACTGTTGATTTAGTCCTTGATCCTAAGATGCCTTCTACTATTGAATCGCAGTTCTCATGAGTCGGACTAGATTGTTGCACACCCCTAATAATTAGTAAAATTAAAAATTCTACTTTGCGTTTAATGTGCAATTGCAAAAGGAATTGTATGTAGACATTTGCAAATATGCAAACTTACATTAGTGGCAGAGCTAAGTTGAAGTCCAAATGGTTGCAGCCCACTCAACTTTGAAATTACGATCAGTTCTACGGTACCCAGGCTAAAATCTAGAGTACCGCTTACCTTGATTATGAAAACGTTATCCATACCTTGAATTGATTGATATTTCAGACATAATACTAATACTCTAACCTATAAAGATCAAAATCTATGTCTCAATTCTCTAAATCTTATACCCCAAAATCAATTTAATTAGAAACAATAACCGAAGGCTATGATTCGTCCAAATATAGGCAAAAAATGAATCCACCATCTTAGGGTTTATAGTTGATGATTTAGATAATTAGGATCTAGAATTCACTCATTTAAGGGTTAGAGTATAGTATCATGCCCAAAAATCCTGCTAATTCGAGGTCTATATAGTATTTTCTTACTATGGGTATGTGATACCTAGATTTACCCAGGGTAATATAGAAGCCACCGTGAAATTACATATAAAATTCGTAACAAATTATAGAAATATAGTAGTCGATAAGGCCTTAGCCCCTTCTCCAATTACTACGCTTCAAATCAACCCTCCAATTCCTGGTTCCGCCATGGCTTGCAATTAATGAAATTGAAGATGCTAGTCACACAACAAAATAAAAAAAAAATAATTTTTTTTTGTTGCCTTCATTCATTTATTTTATTGTAAAAACACTTCATCCACCACAATATGCCGGTGCAATGGCAAGTGAATAGCATTGATGTAAATATAATGATATTAACATGAGTTGGATTGCATAAATAGTGAGATGGCAATAGAGATGACATATTGGTTTTGCAATTACATTAATATGTATGCTATTACAAGTTCCAACTTTCCCATCTCTTTTCCTTGATTGTTTTTGGATTAGTTAACAAAAACAATGTGATCAGAACCAATCCATAGTATTAATCAGTGTAGCAAATTGCTCACATTTTATTGGTTTAACTATTTTTAACATATTCGTGTTTCATAAACAAGAATATTATGAGTAAAAATCATTAATAATATTTTAATATATTCGTAACATATAATTATATATGGCAAGTAAAACCATCACATTTCTAAAATAGAGAGAAATTATTTAGTGGTTATACAAGTGATTTTACAAAAATATAAACTACTATTTAATTATAATAATTCAAAGCTAAAATTTGTATTGCAGATTAAATATTAACCAAGCTATATATGCAACACATTTGTTGGAGGGTTTCCCCTATAAAACCCATTATAGGTTAAGGGTTCTAACTGGGAAAAACTCCCAAACGGTTCAGAAGACTTGTCTAGTTAACTGATTGGCTCGTTTAGAGTTTCGACTTTTGAAGCGCCAGTAACATAGGCAAAGCGCCCAGCTCCTATTGGCGATTAAATGTCCTGATCGAGCTGGAATTGAGACTGATTGCCGGCTATACCGGTTGAACCAATGGTCCTGCCGATTTTGATAAGTTGAGCAAAAGCTATTTACGTCTTAGGTTGGAGACAATGTTTTTTTTTTATCCAAACCTTTTTCAGATTCTTTTATATTATTCAAATCTATCAAAATACTAAGAATCAGCCAAATGTTAGCTTCCCATTAGCAATTTTGTTAGTAATATTGACTTGGCAACATGATATTGACTTGGAAGAGAAACATGAAGGTCGACATTCCAAAATTTTAGTATTTCAACTAAAAAAAGAGTTACAAAATTATTAACGATGACGTAAAAATTGCTAATATTTTGATGTATTACGAAAGATGTGGCTAATTAATAGCATTTTAATAGGTTTGGATAATATAAAAGAATCTGAAAAAGGTTTGGATAGAAAATAGACATTACCCTTTTAGATTTGTTGCACACTTGTCACTTAAATTATTTTTTTGTAACTTAATCATTACTTTTTTATCCAAAAACTTAACAACATCTGTGAAAGAGTAATTTTCCTTGAAAGATTAATTAGAAAATAAAACTTATTGTTTTGCTTCTCCATTGTAGGGCTAGCTTTTTGTTTTTTTTTGTTTTTGACAATATTTGTAGGGCTAGCTATTTGGTCCCAGACTGTTTGGTTTTACCCGAAACCAGACCGTATAACCCGGACCGAGACCGGATTGAGACCAGATAGCAAACAATGCAATCTCATATTCAGGCTTAGATTTGAGGTAAAAAATCGGATAAGAGACCCCCAACACCTAAAATCAAGATAAAATTGGGACCGGACCGGGTCAAGACCGGACCAGATCAAGACCGGACTGTATCCAATCCAATCTTTAGTCCTCATATTCCCGAAAAGACCGGACTGGAACCGGATCAATTTGGTCCAATTTAACCGGACCGGACCGTATAGCCACCCCTACTCCATTGTCCATTCTTGACCTTATGTACCACCAATCCGCTGTCCCCTATCTTCCGGCTCCCCATTGATCTTTTGTCTCGCATATTCTTTGCCCAAATGATTAAACGTCCATATTGTACCCAAAATGATCGAACACAATATTCTTCTCTCCAATCTCATCTTCCACCTCGACCGATTCACCTCTCTGGTCGTCTAAATTTTTGGCCAACACTTCCCGATTTGGAGGTTTAAGAACTAAGGGTTAGTTATGAATTTTGTCTACCAGATAAATTGAATTTATTTCTTAAACCGAGGTGTTAATATAAAGAGAGTTGGTGACCATGGGAGAGGAATAGTAATGCTTCTGTTGTAATGATGTTGAAACTATTATCAATGTAAGAATAAAACCTTGTTTCCCCTTAATAATTCTTGTATTTCTTTTATATTTGATTCAACTCTTTAAAGGAAAAGTGATTAGAACTACATTCATCGAATTACCATCCTAAGATGTCCTCCAATCTCCTATGATTCAACAAACTGAAAATCAAAGATGATCACTAAGTAATGCTACATCCTAACTTATCTTGGTAACCGAATGGAAAGCTGAAAGAGGTGAGAAATCCTGAGTTTCTCTATATTGATTAAGAGTATTTATACATCAATAGAATGAACAGACTGCAAATCCTACATAGAGGATGAACTGAACAACTAGAATTAAGGAACATAAATAAACAGAAAAACAGAGCGGGGAGAAACAGAACATAGTGGGGGAGAGAGAGTGAATTTCTGGTCCGAGTATTGCTCCTCCTTATCACGCCCCCGCAAGTGGAACCTTGGTGAGGTGAAACTTGAGTAGAATTGTCGAAATGAGAGTCGATCCAATTGTTTGGTGATGTCTTCTGTGGGTTGTTCCGGTGCCGGTAGGTAATGAGCTCATAGTTGTTGCTTAGCGATTCTCGCTGCATTGGATGAGGCTGTGACGTCAGGGTGGGTCACTGATATGCGGACGACTGGAGTAGGCTGCATCGCCAATGAGATGGTGTCGTATGCTGGAAAAGAGTGTCCATTTATGCCAAATTTATCTGTTGGTAGGATTCTGTAGGACTAGAAATGTGAATATAAAGAGGGGAGAGAATAAAGGAGGGAAGAATAAAACAAAGGAGGGCTAATGAATTATCTGCTGTTCTTATATGAGGAATCTGGGAAAAGGAGAATATGAAGGGGAAGATGAGATCGAAGAGGGAAGGTCAAAAGGTTGGGAAGAAGGAAAAGAGTTTGTGAGGAAGAGGAATAGTCGCACATGACTCGTCGGGAAGAAGAATGAGACTGGCCGGCAGGAATCGATAGTTGCAGAGAAGGTGATCGGGAAGAAAGATGAGGAACCATCATCCATTGCTTTTGCAGAGAAGAGTACAGGGGAGGGGGGAATCGATTGGAATCGTCAGTCGCAGGGTGAGAAGAATGGTAGAAAGAAAAAATAAAGGAAAGAGACAGATGTGAGGATAGTGTTTCAGAAGATATGATGCAGGAGAAGATAGTGTAATTTCCATGGTAACCGGAATTAGGAGAGTAAGAAGAGTGAGCGGTTTAGTTAACACATCCGCCAAATGATATATAGCAGGGAGATAGCGAATGTGAAGCTGATTCTTGTTGACCCGGTCACGAACAAAATGAAATTCAATCTCAAGATGTTTGGAGCGGGAGTGGAAGACCGGATTATGTGCCAAGTAGGTAGCTCCTAAATTGTCACACCATAACACGCGAGCTGCAGGAAGTGGGCAGCCGAGGTCCACGAGGAGTGCTTGTAGCCAGATAACTTCGGAGGCCAGGGTAGCAAGGGCCCAATATTCACATTCGGTAGAAGAACGAGCCACCACCTTTTGTTTGTGTGTCGACCAAGAAATGAAGTTGTTACCATAGAAGACTGCAAAACCCGTAAAAGACTTGCGATCATGTGGACATGAGGCAAATGAGGCATCTGAGTATCCATGAAGCTGCGGCTTGGGGGAACGACTGAAAACAAGAACTTGATTCAAAGTACCCTTAAGAAAACGAAAAACACGCTTGACAGTTGACAATGAGCATCTGTGGGAGCAGTCTGAAACTAGGAGACATGATTAACAACAAAAGATATATAAGGCCGAGTGAAGCTCAAGTATTGAAGTCTCCCAACGATGCGGCGATATAAGCCTGGATCAGAAAAGGCGACAACTGTATCAGATGCACTTTGAAGAAGCTGATCAGCGGTGCCGGGGGTAGAAATAGATTTAGCATCCGCCATGCCAGCCCATTGGAGAAGCTCCTTAATATACCGCCGCTGAGTGAGAATAATTCCA